GTATGCTGATGTCACTGTTCGCTCCCCGACACCAGCCGCTCGGCGGACCGACCATGCCATCGCAAGCGGCAGGCCCGACGCGCCCCAGGGTGGCTCGTCTACAGAGCAGGCAAGTACACATAGCAAGCAGTGGCCAGGCAGCAGTGCCTCGCGAGTGGAAGCATCAACGCAGCGTGCAATGGGCAGCTTACCCCGTGAGCCGCCCAGGCGGCGTGCGTCGCAGCCACCGTGTGCTCTGACCCTGAGAACAGCGAGTGCACCTGGGGGCCGGTGCGACGCGGGGCGGCGTCATGGTAGTCGCGTCCACGGACGCAGCGCGACCGCCCCGAATGGGTGACACGGCGGGGGCTCGCATCCCCCGAGGCCCTGGGCGTTCTGCCATTCCTGCCACGCCCTGCGTCTGCGCCCGGTGCCGGGCCCCGGGGCCATCACGGATGTCGATACGGCCCGACGCACGCCTCAGAAAAATCGGGTCAGTGGGCTCTGGTCGTGATTTTTGTCGCGATGTTGTGATGTTTCCGCAGAGTCGGATCTCAGGGCTCGACGATCTGATTTGTTCAATCCCCGCGGCTTTCCTCGATTTCGGCCTTTTGGGGCCGTCTTCGGGCCACGGGGACGAGAAACCGACCTCGGGGACGGGCTCGGGAGCTCTAGGGCCACGAATTGAACAACTCGTGTCGCAGGGTGTCTGGGGGGGCGGGCACGGTTGCGAGGGCGATCAGGCCAGGGAGCTTTGTGACACACGTTCCTTTTGGCTTCGCGAACAAGGGGGTAGGGGCAGGGGGGAAGGCTTGTTTCGAAGGAGGCTGCTTCGTAGTGGTGCTGGCCTTACGTCTATAGATATGGCCGGCGCACTCCTCCCCTGCCCCCTCTACGCGTGGCCGATTCCTACCAGCGCAGAGGAGGCTCCTTTGGAAGAGATCAGAGACGACGGGACGACGGGCGGTCGACGCACGACAGTCGAAACAATAGGAGGGCGCTGGGGGGGGGGGAAGACATCCAGTGTAGTTCAATGCGGGGTCTCCGAAGTATACTGGAGATCGACTGACCCGGATCAATGCAAACCCAGGTCAGTCAGGCCTTGCAAGATCCTGCAAGAAGCTGCGCCCAGGCTGACACCCGTTTGCAGCGACCACCGTCCATTGAGCATCCGTCCCCAGCGCTGGCACTTCATCCGGAGTCGTTTTGCTGACGGTCCTGGGGCCCTGCGAGGGCCCCCAGAACCGAAAACGACGAAAAACCTCGGCAGATGTTCTCGTCAGCTAGGATTTGGGATGCCTGGGGAGTTGGGTGGGGGGTCGAAGGAGGAGGAGAAGGAGGAGGAGGAGGAGCAGTTGCAGCAGCAGCAGCAGGGACCAGCAGGGAGCAGCGAGTCGTAGGGAGGAGGAGGGGGGAAAAGGTAGGGGGAGGGGGGGGAGGAGGGAGGAGGGAAGGCAGAGGCGGACAGAAGGCGAGGAGGAGGATAAAAGAGGAGGAGGATAAAAGAGGAGGACGACGAGGAGGCGCCCAGGCGTGGCGCGATGGCGAGCTTGGCGCCCGCGATCAAGTTCTCCGTCAAGAGCCACGTGCGTCTGACCAGTGCGAGGCGCGGATTCATCCACATCCACCGCCTGGGAACCGACGCCCCGGGCACCCAGCAAGCGGCGGACATTGATATACTTGGGCCCCTGGGGGCCAAAACACACACACACACACTTACATACACAGATATATGTGCTATATGTGTTATAGTTATATACATATATACATATATATATACTAGAACCATCGCGCGTGCTTCGCGCGCGCTCAAGTTCTAGCTAGGATAATCGTCATCGTCATCATCGCCATCCTCATCACCATCATATCCGGCGTCATCGTCAGCGGCATCGTCATCATCACCATGACCATCACCATCATCACAATCGTCACCATCACCACCATCAGCAGCAACATCGTCATCACCATCGTCATCATCGCCATCGTCGTCATCATCGTCAATATCGTCACCTGAATTATCAACATAATCATCCTCATCATCGCCATCGTCATCATTATCGTCGTCGTCGTCGTGATCGTCGTCATCGTTATCGTCATCATCATCGTCATCATCTTCATCATCCGCCCACTCCTGCATCACAAGCACCATAAACAGCATCGCCACCAGTATTATCAGCATCGGCGTTATCATCCTGACCATCAGCAACACCATCATACTGATCGTCAGCATCACCATCCGCAACGGCATTACCGTCATCGTCATCATGATCGTCAGCATCACCACCATCACCATCATCACCATCACTCACATCACGATCACCATCATCAACATCATCATCATCAGCATCATCATCATCATCATCATTCCCACTGTCAACATCATCATCATCATCATCATAATATTCTTCCTCATCATCATCATCATCATCATCATCATCATCGTTGTCGTCAACTTCAGAATAGTCGTCATCATCGTCATCATTATCGTCACCGTCGTCTCCGAAGCTCCCCCGCCGAACTC